CTCCCGGTCTCATCAACTGGCAGGGATGGGATGAGGCTGACCATGGCAAGGGAAAGAGGGGAGGGGAGGGACGAGATCGAGTCTCACCTGCTGAAGACCTCGTGAAAACAACTCAAGCGTCCGGGAATCGGTCCTTGAGATGAGCGTCCGAAAAGAGGGCTCAGCCACAACCCTGATGGCACCAGTCAGATTTCAGAGAGAGGGGCTGGGGCTGACCTGAAGCAGAAGAGAGCGGGCAGGTGGAGGTCGTTTGGCAGGGCGTCCCCCACCCCACCCAAATTCTGATGCCAGGCTTGCTCTGGCGTCCAGCTGGACTTCAGGCCAGAGAGGGATCCGCCTTGCGGCCGCTGGCGGCTACTCAGGGCCTTTCCATTTCCCCTTGGGTGCTCTGCTGCTTGCCATCCCAGCCTGACTGGTTGCCGGGGAGAAGAGAGCTGCCTCTAGAGAGCGCGCTGCCAGTATTGAGTCGATGGCATTGGCAGAAGACACCCAGGAGGCAGCTCAGGGTGCCCTCGGGAGGAGAACAGGAGGGTTCAGCCCTGCGGATGGGATGACGGGTCGTAGATTGATGGCCAGCTGGAAGTGTGGTGGGCCATCCCTGGGGGAAGGGCTGGGGTATCCCAAGGAGCGCCTCCCATCTGCCCCCCCCCAGTAACCCCCTGTCTCCTTAGCCTGCCTGCTGCAATCGGAGCTGGTGAACTACGAGCGCGTGCGAGAGTACTGCCTCAAGGTGCTTGCCAAGGAGAAGAGCAACTTCAAAGCCATGTACCGAGCGGGCATTGCTTTCTACCACTTGGGGGACTACGAGAACGCCCTTTTGTATCTGAAAGAGGCCAAGAATCGAGAGCCCACAGGTAGGTGCCCAGGTCAATCCTGCTGTTCAGGAAAGAGAGGGAGAGAGAGAGAGAGAGGTGTTTGGGGGATGAGCAGAATGCAACAGAAGGCAGATTTCTACACCAAATGTGTCAGGACCCTTGAGTGAAGCTGAGCAAAGCGTCTCTGGGAAGCTGCCTTTTCCAACCGGACGTCAGGCCTGTGCAAGGCATTAAGCTGGCCTGCAAGACCGTTCCATCTGGGTGAGGCCAACTAGGGCATCTTGGTCCTGCCGTGGGGACTCCCAGAAGGGAGAATTATGGACTTTGCAACACAAACACCACCACCCCTCTGAAATGCACATCCCTAACAGCTGCTTTTCTTGCTATCTATATGCACTGTTTTAAAACCTCAGAGACTTCCCATAGCTTGAGGTAGAGTTAGCCAACTTTGGTGGGCCTGTACCCAACCGTGTGAAATCCAGGACCACCTCTCCTGCCGGTCACTCCTGCTAGAGAACGCCGAGCCAGAAGTATCAAAAGTTTTGGGGGAAAGTGGGTTCCTCTGTTCTCTTGCATTGGGTTCTGAGGCCACAAGAGGGACAGCGGGAATTTTTCTGCTTTCCGGAACCGCTCCTGCCCTCAAGATGGCTTTTGTGCCTTCTCTTTGTAGACACCAACGTCCTGCGCTACATCCAGCTGACGGAAATCAAGATCATCCGCTGCAGCCAGCGTGATAAGGAGGTGATGGCGTAGCACCAGGCCTGCCGGGCCAGAGCTGCTGCTGCTGCTGCCGCCACCACCGCCACCGCCGCTCTTCCTCCTCCTCCTCCTCCTCCTCCTCCTCTGATGTGGAAGACAGATGGAGCCTTCTCCACATGGTGCCAAGAGTGCCCCAAACCCACCCACTGCCCTTCCTCCCACCCGCCACGCTCCAGGAAAAATGCCATCCAGTGCCCGCCATGCCCTGGCAGCTGCCACAGCCCGAGAGTTTCCCGGTTCAGAGCGTTGCTCTCGAAGGACAGTTGGGCCCGTGTTCTCTCGGCTGCTGGACGGGATAATGTAGCATTTTGCCAAACACTGTTGGGGTTGCTTATTTTTTAAAAAATGGATATATAAGAGCCTTTCCCTGGTGTGTCTCTGTCAGATGAGCCAAGTGGCATGGTGGGGGTGGGGTGGGGCACGTGTGAAAAAAGTGCTGGGGAAGCTCTGTGTTGGAGGGGTCCTCGGTACCATATGAAGAGCCAGAGAAGAGGCAAAGAGGGTCTCCTGGTGCAAATAGCCACTTGATCTGCAGCCTCTCTCCTTTGATGTGGCCCATGGCGTTGCTCTCCTGCTTACTGCTTCCAAGAACACCTCTGTGTAAGTGTAACTCTTATGGCTGACCTGGTTCTGGAGCCCTCCCGACATGGTGCACCAGGGGCCGTTCCTTCCCACTCCCCATTAAGGAGGAGATGGCACAGGGGCAACGTGGGTCTGGATCCCACCTTGTCTGGGTCTCCCTTCCTTGTCTAGAGCATGCTTCTTGCCCTTGAGTGTTGAGGGAGCTAAAGATCACCAGAACAGCAGAGGAATCCTGATGCAGGACCAGCCCAAGGAAGATCCAGCATGTTGTTCTCATGCGTGGCTCTTCAGAGGCCTCCGGGATGCCCCACTGCAGAAGAGTTAAGCCTGTTTGCCCCTAACAGCTGGTAGGTGGTGTCCTGCTCCCTCTGGCCAGAGCATCCTCTTTCTCTGAGCTGCTGAATGTTGTTGCCTCTCCCTCTTCCCTTCTCCACAAACGGGCCAACTGTCCTTTGAGTCGACCCATTTGTGCAGTTACCCTCTCTGCCATCATCATATCCAGTCCACTGAGTTACCTCCGTCACAAGAAATAGACATTACAGACCACCTCTCTTTAGAAGAGGGAAATCCTTAACTGCTGAAATAGTCTGAATGCAGAAGCTTAGATTCCAAATTCAATTACTTTGTCTTGGGGTTGGTCTCCAGGACTTAAGCAAAAGGCTGACTTCTCAAAGATATCACCTCTCTCTAGCGCTAATTTGGACAGTTTTTCCCATTTCCAGGAAATTGGACTGCTCCAGAAGCCAGGCACTCCTGTCATTTGCCATCAGGGAAGCGTCCCCCAGACCCACTGTTGGCATCACCTACAGTTTTGCTCTGGATCCTGGCCTGTTTCCTTCCTACTTTATCCCAGAAAACAAGGCTGCCTCAAGAAGCTACTTGAGAATAAGTTTGTGTTGCTGACAGGGCTTCTCCTCACCAGTGTGAGATGAGCTGGGGGCTTCCCGTACAGCTTTGTGAACTCTTTTCCTCTTGCTGCAGGTGGTGTGTTTGTGGGGGGGGGGTCTAGGGGGGAGAGGGACTCCTAAGAAGGCGCAATTTGTCTCAAACACTGCCGTTCAGGTTCAGAAGCGAAGGGCGAGGTGCACCAGAAGCCTCCCCGCTTATTTGCAGGGTGTGTGTGTGTGTGTTCACGATCGCTTGCCAGTATGGCCATGGGATCCAGATTAAATCCAGAAGAAATGACTGCCCCAACAGAGGGATTCTCAGACCCACCAGAAAAGGTTAAGAAAAGGAAGGAAGGAAGGAGAAGAAAAGGAGGAGGCACTGATCAACAGCTTTGAGGCGGATCTAAGAGTTGGTTTTGTGTTTGCTGGGCTTTGCCCAACTCCGTGTAGGATTTAGAAGACGGGGTGCCTGAGTGTGGAAGTCCAGTCATCAGGTTTTCCAAAGACACAGATCCGAGAGGCCAACCTGAGCAGGAGAATAAAAGGAGGAGGCACCGATCAACAGCTTTGAGGCGGATCTAAGAGTTGGTTTTGTGTTTGCTGGGCTTTGCCCAACTCCGTGTAGGATTTAGAAGACGGGGTGCCTGAGTGTGGAAGTCCAGTCATCAGGTTTTCCAAAGACACAGATCCGAGAGGCCAACCTGAGCCTCTCCATCAACCCCAGAGGTTTCATCCAGGCTTCACGTGACAAGCCAAGAGACTCTGGTCCATTAGGGCAACGAAGGCACTGCCAGGCCACAGATTCCGGCCAGATTAGTGACCCTGAAGACCAGCAGTGGTAAAAATTGCATAGCCTCTCACATCAGAGTCATGCTGATTCTGCTTACTGAGCCTATGAAGCACCTTTAGTCCCCAACTAATTCAGAATACCTGGCCCTGATCTGCTTGTGTCTCTGCGTGAGAAAAGCTGTGGAATTCCCAGAGAGATTCGGTCCCGTACGCTCCCGGAGGGTTTGAGCATGAGTAGGAACAGCTGCAGAAGCTCCTTGGACCCGTCTGCCTTCTCACAGAGATGCCTGCCACTGCCATTGCCCTGCTTTGGTACCAGTGATGTTGTTGCTATGGTGACCGGGGTGCATAAGGGAAGACCGGATATGGTGATGCTCATTCTCTTTGCAGATCGATGCAAACGATGGGGGAGGGAGCCCTGGAACAGGGAAGGGGGGTCAGAACTAACCTCTCAGTTCTCTGGAAGCAGAACCGAGGTATCTGAGGTTGGGGCCATGATCTACCGTGGCCTTCCCACGTCCAGGCTACTGCTTAATACTCAAAAGGAGAGCTGCCCACTAAGTTTTCCCTAAGGGGAAGGATTATCAATTGACACTGCTGGAGACACCTTAATTTAGCTGCCGTAGGACTGCTTTCTTTGGGACCAGGGCCTCTCCTCACCCCTTGCCTCTGAAGAACGGCACAGGAGCAACTGAAATGGCAAAAACAGAGGAAGGGCTCGGCTTTTGAAAAAGGAGGCTGTGCTTGGTCCCTGTTGCATTGACTAAAGCACCGCATGGCTTCTTCTGAGCCTCTAGCTGAGCATCATCCACTCTGTCTGAAAGACTGAGAACATGACCCTTTCTGGGGGAGGGGAGTACAACTTCCAGCATCCCCCAGCCAGCCAGCGTGGCTAGTGGATGGGGAATTCTGGGAACTGTAGGAAAAAGGAGTGTGTGGAAGCATTTGTCTGTATCACTGTAGGGGGGCGAAGGATGAAGCTTTTCAGTTGCACATGGAGTTCACAGCACAAGGGAGAAACAAAAGCAGGCATGTTTACTTCTTAGGCACACACCTTTCCTTTTTATAAAAAAAAATTGTAAACAGAATGAGTATCACAGATGTTTGGCTCAGATGTTACCCATGACAACCAGGCAAGGGGGAAAGAAGCCTGCATGCACACACACGCACACACATGCACACACACACACACACACACACGCACACACGCACACACGCACACACGCACCACAGGCTCACGCACTCACACAGATGCACAGACAGACCCATGAAGTCAGCCACTGGCTGAGTTGTCTCCTTGGTGGGAGAGAGCGCCACTCACAGTCAATAAATACAGCACCCTACATGTATGTCCCCCCTCCCCGGTCCCTCACCCCGCACCTCCGGATGCAGAGACCCACAGCCTCCGTCCCGGGCGCCCCACAGGGCAGGGGTCAAGGGGAGGTCAGCGACTCGTCCCAAGGAGAGTGATGGATGGTGTCAGTGGGATACGTCCGTCTCCAGGCCACAAGGTGGGCCCTGCCTTCCGCACAGGGGCACCGTGGGGTCCCGGTTCTGTCCTTCCGTGTCCATGTCCAGAAGCGTCTGGCGGAAACCCACGGTCCTCTTGGTGGCCCCCCCGGGCGAGGAGGAGGAAGAGGAGGGACCCCCTGGCGGTGCCTGGCCCAGAGAGATGAGCTTCCAGGGGTCAAGGCGGTGGCGCCCCGGAGCTGGGCGAGGTCGGGGCGCAAAGGCCAGCGTCTGGGGCCGCTCTACGGGCACAGCAGCGTTCAGGGCCAGGTGGCCTTCCAACGCTTTGTTGCGGCAGGCTTGAGAAGGGACGAGAGAGGGAGGATCGGGCAGGCGTGGAAAATCCATGGACCCTGGGGAGGGGAGGGGGGGCAAAAGTCAGTATTGTGGAGAGAACACACTGAGGTGGCCCCCTGCTAGGAAATCAGCCCACCCCCCACCCACCCCCAAATGCAGAGCTACAAGAAGCTGATCTTTAGCTATCCATTTCTCTGTTCTTTTCGGCAGGATCTCAGCCCATCTCTGGGCTGAGAATAACTCCACCTTTCTAGTCAGGGGGAAGAAGCCTCTCTCTGCCCCCCCACCACCACCACCCCCCATTCGACGAGGGCTCCTTCTCCAACTTGGGCTTATTTTTTGCAGCGGGAGATCCTGGGGCTCCCCCGTGCCGGCCACGGCCACCCTTCACCCTTTGAACTTGGTGGTCTCCACTCCCTGTCAGAACGGCCCTCCGCAACGCCTGGCCTGGTCCCAGGGCTGGGCCGGGCTGCTTCCAGGTCTTCCACAGCCTGGGAAGCCTCGGTCCCTTTCTTGACCAATTGCCCCTCAGGGCTGTGGAGGGCAAGACCAGGGCAGTCAAGAAAGCAGCAGGTGGCCCCTCTGTGATGTCAGGCAAGGGTCAAGGGGGCATCCGCACGGGTTTGGTCAGGGAGCTCTCGCACCAGTGACCAATGGACGGGCGGAAGGCTGAGACCTAGCCAAGGTGGACTTGCTGCTCAAGCGCACGTAGGCCAGAGCCCGGCTCAGGGGGAGCCCAGCGGGAGTGGCGGCTCACCCAGGCAGCTGGAATCCTGCAGGTTCTGGCGGATGGCCCCATCGGAGGGGGTGCGCCG